GAACCAGTTTGGCTCGGTGGCTAGAGCATCGGCCTTCGGACTGAAGGGTCCCAGGTTCGATTCCGGTCAAGGGCATGTACCTTGGTTGCGGGCACATCCCCTGTAGGGGGCATGCAGGAGGCAGCTGATCGATCTCTCTCATCGATGTTTCTAGCTCTCTATCCCTCTCCCTTCTTCTCTGTAAAAAATCAATAAAATATATATTTTAAAAAATTGGTGAGTTAACACATGATTGACAACTTAATGGGAAGTAGTCCTCTGATCATGTGTAACGGCCCTAACAGGAAAGTCCTCAATTCCCGAGGAAGGCTCCAAGCCTCGTGTCCACCCAGAAGGGCCACCATTGTGTTTCTTCACAGCTCTTGAGCTGTTTCATTGGGAAACTGCTGACTTGAGGGAGAAGGGACCCAGGAGAGGGGGGACCCCCAAGGGTGGGAGGTGGCAGCGACGGCTCCCACAGCACCAGCCACAGGCTTTTCCGAGGCTCCTACAGGTATTGTCCCCCGTTTTTCTGGATTAAGCTTTTCTATTTCATTTTTCTTTCTACTATTTGAGTTGTACACTTATCCTATTTCCAGCCTTTTCACTGGTGCCATTCACGCTCTCAACTGTATACTTAGATTAACAAAGTCAAGTTACTAAATCTCCCTCTTGCCAAAGGCAAATATCTTTGGATACTTTCGTGTGTGTGTTTCTGTCGCCCAGTGTTTCGGAGTCTACCCTGGTGTTTAAATGACCCACATTGAACTGTTACCATCGCGTTATTTTATAGTCGATGCTTGTTTCTAGTCACCCACGGTTGCCAGGGCTTTTGTCCACCTCTCCTTTTGCATCTCCGCTTCCTTCCTCGGGCTGTAGAGTTCCTTTCATGGTAAACTCCCTTTGTTTTCGCTTCTTTGAAAATGTCTTTATTTCGTGACTCGGAAAAGATAAGTCAGCCAAGCTGGCCCGTCCTGGTTGGCAGTTAATTGTTTCCTCCGCACTTGGCTTTTCCTGCCGCCTTCCAGCTGCCTTCACTGCTACTGAAATGCCAGCTGGTCGTCCGTAATTGCCACGTGTCACTTAGCATTTCGCTCTGCACGCTTTTAAGATTTTATTTTTGTCTCCCAACAGGAAATGGTTAAAGTGGGAAAGCCACAAACAGGGGAATAAGGCACAGATCTAGCAAGAGAAAAAATTTTAAGATGAACTGAAATATAAAATGAACTTGGACATCTGAAGATGGGCAGGAGCAGGTAAGATGGAGACAGAGGAGAGGAGGGGAGACAAGGGGAGGGCCGGTACGGGGTGAACCGTGCATGGCTTCCCCCCGCCGTGTTCCTGTGGCCTGTGGCTTGTCTGACATGTCCCGTGGTTCCGAGTGTTGGCAGAAGCTCCCAGCAGTGACAGCGAGTCCTCAGGGCAGCCACTGGGGCCTGGGGTGTCCGCATGCTGGATCACTGGGGCGGCTGACCTTGATCACTAGGCTGAGGCGGCATCTGCCTGGTTTTTCCATTATAAAGACCTGGTTTTCCATTTGTAATGAATAAACGCCTCAGAGGAGCCACTCGGAAGCTGTGTAGATGTCCCGTGGCTCCCCAAACAGGGTCTGACCGGCAGCAACTATTTCTGCGGCATTTGCCTAGCGGTGACTTCGTGTTTCAGTCCTTCCTTTTACATTATTAATTGGGATCCTCTGTAAGGCAGAGCTGTCCCTTCTCTGTTTCTTTGTTTACTCTTCAATGATTCATTTACATCCGGATGGGTTCATGGGTATTCGTCGTGCTACGGCTTACCATCCAGGTCTACCCTCATTTATTTTCTTGCTCCAATTGTTCCAGCTTCGCCACCGGGAGCTCCTTCCGGTTGCTTCCTGCGTTCTTTCAACAAGCCCATCCTTTTAAAGCATGTCCTTATTTTCTGGTTCCACAAAATGTCCCAGGCTCCGCTTGTATTTTTCCTGCCCCAGTTCTGGAACCAACCACTTCTCCAGGGGCCCCTGGTTTCTTAGCAGGCGCACATCGGAGACAGACGGTGTGGGTTCAGTTCCAGACACCGCAGTTAAGTGAGTATCGCAAGGAAGGGAGTCGTAATCTTTCTGTTGGTGGAAGGTTTTGCCTTCCATTTATTAAAAACACATCTGGTCAACTGCAATTAAAAATTTTTTTTTAAATTGAAATATCACATCCATGAAATAAATGACACAAGCCTGCAGGGAGATGGTTTACTTCCTTGGCCGCTGTCATGCTCAGGTGGTTCCTCCCGTGTGGCCTGCGGGCTCACACCTGTGCTGCGCGTGGGGGGCAGAGGCAGGGCCATCAGTGCCTTGTTCCTGACCTCGGTGGGAGTGCCTTAGGCTCTTTGCCAAGTAAGATACGAACTTGAGCACCAAGGTATATAGATCTTATCAGGTCAAATGTGTATCCCTTGGCTGCAAGCAATGTGAGTGTACTTAATGCCACTATCTGTACACTTACAAATGGCTAAATGGGCCCTGGCCGGGTGGCTCAGTTGCTTGGAGCATCGTCCCGGACACCAAAAGGTCGTGGGTCCAGTTCTCGGTCAGGGCACATACCCTGATCTAGGCACAGATGGGAAGCAACTGAGCAATGTCTCTCTCTCTCTCTCTCTCTCTCTCTCTTCCTCTCTCTATCTCTGAAAATCAATAAAAAATATATCCTTGAGTTGGGACTTTTTTTAATGTTTTTTATTGATTTCAGAGAGGAAGGGAGAGGGACAGAGAGAGTTAGAAATGAGGCACATGCCCGGGTTGCGGACTCAACACCCAGGGTGGGGCGTGTAGAAGGCAGCCAGTCAATGATTCTCTCTCATCATTGATGTGTCTCTTTTTCCCTCTTCCTTCCTCTCTGAAATCAATAAAAATATTTTTTAAAAAAAAAAGCAAGCTGGCGAATTGAGGCAAATAACCATGTGATCTCAAGTCAAGGGCAGTGTCTGCCTTGTTCGCTTTGCAGGACAAGCCACTTGGGCCAAAACGTATGAAGCAGCACATTTGCGACGTCCTAAAAGCCACTCCACTGCCTTTCACCAGGCGCCCAGACGTCCCCTATCCCTTTGATCTCTCAGCCGATGGTCATGTGAGCCAGTCACCTCCAAGGACAGACCTCAGGCGCTGAGCCGCAGGCGCACAGGAACTCTTATCTTGTCGCCATTCCCGCCGTCCTGATCCACTGGGTCCTCTGCTCTTTGCTCTCCATCTTCCGTCCGTCAAGCCAGCAAAACACAGCCCAGAGGAGCCATGAAAACAGCTTTATTTTTCTAGTTTTTTCATTTGTCATGAAATAGGAGCCAGCAAAACATAATACCCAACTGAGAATCCTACAGTGTCCCCTCAATTCCATTTTGTCAGTAACAAGCCAGGCTTGCAGGGGGAGGGGGGGCACCTACAAGTAAGCGGCTTTTTTGTTGTTAATCCTCACCCAAGGATATTTTTCCATTGATTTTCAAGGGAGACACAGAGAAGCATCGATGTGAGAGAAACACATAGATTGGTTGCCTCCTGTATGCGCCCCAACCAGGGCCTGGACTGGGGAGGAGCCTGCAACCAGAATTGAACCCGAGACCCTTTGGTCCATAGGCTGATGCTCTATCCACTGAGCCAAACCGGCCAGGGCCTAAATGGCTTTTGATGTGGAAATCAATCTTCCCATGCGCTCGCTTCCCACCAGCCACTGGTCGCCACCTCATGTCAGGTGTGCCCGTTTCTGTCCTCTGTCCCACTCTCTGTCTCCCCTTCATGAGGGGCCATTTCAAAAGTGGAGGGAGTGGAGAAAAACGTTTGATACCCAGAGAGCACAAACAAAAGATGGATAAATTGGACTACAAAAAGGTCTGTATTAAAAAGAGAACACTAAAAAAGCCAAAAGTCAAACTGGAAAAAATTTGCAATTCATACAGCAGGTGTAGAGTAGAAAGATCACCTTCAAATCATCTGTCCTCTGAAAAAAAAAAAACACAGAGAAGCAACTGGGCAAAGGAGACTATAAAGGCTGTTCAAACAGCTATGGCTGGTTTGGCTCAGTGGATAGAGCCTTGGCCTGAGGACTGAAGGGTCCCAGGTTGGACTCCCGTCAAGGGCACATGCCCAGGTTGTGGGCTTGATCCCCAGTAGGGGGCATGCAGGAGGAAGCCAACTGGTGATTCTCACTCATCATTGATGTTTCTCTCTCTCCCTCTCCCTTCCTCCCTGAAATCAATAAAAATATATTAAAAGTGGGTCACCTTAAAAGCAACGTGGATGGCCCACTTTGGGGGATGCCAGCCATAGGTCATGAGCACACTCAGGCAGACACACCCTCGAGGATGGCAAGGAGCTGAGATCTGACCGCAGCCCAGGGAGGACAAGCCCAAACGGAGCCTGACCACCGAGGGGAGACCAACACTGGAATTCGGAGGCCGAGGCAATTCGAATTTGGGACAGAAAGTCTGCAGAGGGGGAGCTGCACAGAGAAGGCAAACCTGCAACATGAGGATTAAAAAGAACATAAAGTAGCTCATGAATAACTACATAGGTTATGTGTTGAGACTATTTTTGCTGTTCTGACTTACATGAACTATGTTCTCAAATTTATTTCACCTGCTTTTTAAAAACTCTGCAAAGCTGGGACACTTCCAACTACATATGTGGCTCAGGTTGTATTTCCATTGAAATCCAGTGACTTGGGGTTGGGTTTTTAACTGATTTCTTTTGTTTAAAAAAATTTTTAGTTGATTTTTAGGAGAGAGAGAAATAGAAACATTATTACTCAGCTGCCTCCTGCACACCCCCTACTGGGGATCGAGCCCGCAACCCGGGCATATGCCCTGACCGGGAATTGAACTGGAGACCTCTTGGTTCTGGGTCAATGCGCAACTGTTGAGCCACACCAGCCAGGCTGGGGATTTTTTTTAAGGGCACATGGTCTCCAAATGGCCCACTTTAAGTATAAATGCAAACAAGTTAGAAAAGGGTGAAGAAGGAAATTCCACGCTAACACGCATCGAAAGAAAGTTGGAGTGGCTACATTAACATCAATTTATACTTCAGAACAAAGGACAGAACTGGAAATAAAGAGAGGATGTTTCATGAAGATGGGGTCATTCCACACGATAACAAATTTCCAGGTGTGTACAAACCAAATATCAGAATATTTAAATCCATGAAGCAAAACCAGTAGGACAATGGAAAATTAGACAAAGCCACAATTACAGACATTTAAATACTGTTTTCAATAACAGACGTGCACAAAGATGAGGAAGATGGTAGTTTTCAAGTTGGTATCGCCTAATCCACATTTACAAACCCTCCTCCTGCCAACAGCTCAGACACATTCTTTTCAAGGGACGTAAAATAACCGTTTGTGGAGCGGAAAACAAAGCTCAGTAACTTTTAAAGGAATGAAGTCAGCATATACCCTAAGACCACAATGGAATTAAAACCAGAAACCAGTAACGAGAAGAAAAAAGAATCCAATGTCTGGAAGTTAAACCATACATCCAAATAACCCATCGATCAAAGAAATCGCAAGGGAAATTAGAAAGAAAAATACATGTCAACACGGAAGGGTTCGGGTAAATGGTGCTGCGGGGAGGAACCCACGGTGCTCTGTGTAGAGAAAGCAGCTCTTCCAAGACGGCTCAGTCCGGGCGGTCAGTCGCCGGCTGTAGGCAGATCTCAGCTCCTTGCCATGCTGACCTCTTCGCAGGCGGCTCCAGTGTCCTCATGACCCATGGCTGGCATCCCCCAAAGTGGGCCACCCACGTTGCTTTTAAGGTGACCTTGCCCAGAGCAAGATCAAGTTTCAGTGTGGAGGACAGGCAGGTGGGCAGCTTCACTGACTCCCATGCTCTCAAGTTTGTGCCTTTGCAAAAGTCAACACCATCGCCTCAAATGTAGAGCATGAGATGCACCAAATGTTACGTTCTGTGGTGGGGTTAGAATTAACAAGGATCAGCGGCATCGCCCAAGCTGAACAACTGTGAGCCAGCAGCCCCGCTCCTGAACATACAGCGGACAGAAATGTTTACTTATGTTCCAAAAGACAAGGACCAGAATGTGCACTGCAGCCGGTTTGGAAACTATTCAAATGCCAGTTGCTAGCAGAATGGATACATTGTGGTGTTTCCGCACATGGGAATACTACGTAGCAACAAGAATGAACAATTTACAACCAGTGCAGCAATGTAAATGAATCTCACCCAAAAAGCTGAGCCAAAGCAAACTAACCTGTTAAATGGGCCTGGCCTTCACTGGGGAAGGGGGGGTGGGCCGGGGAAAGGGGTGTAAGAAGGAACTTGGGGGCCTCTCAGCTGTGGGTAAATGTCCTGTTTCTGGTGGAGACTGTCACATGTGTGTCCAGTGAAATTTCAGTTTGTGCTTTCCAGATGCCCTTCTTGTATACTGCACTTGAATCAAAATGTAAAAAGAACTAGAACCCTTAGAATTAAGAAATATAACCCGATTTTTTAAAATCAATAAATGTGGTGGGCCCTGGCAGAGTAGCTCAGTTGGTTAGAGCATCAACCCGATGTGCCAAGGTTGTGCGTTTGATCCCAGTCAGGGCACATACAAGCATCAACTAATGAATGCATAAATACGTGGAACAAACTCATATTTCTCTCTCCCTTGCTCTCGCTCTCTAAAAATCAATCAATAAAAAATTTTACTATTTAAAAATACAAAAATAAGACGGGGAGCGGAGGCGGGGCCGAAGAGCAAATAAATGTTGACAGAATAAAAAAAAAATACAAAAATAAATAAGTTGGAACAAAGCCCAAGGAATCTCCCCAAAGTAAAACATGTAGAAGCCAAAAAAAGGATCGAAAAAGTGAGAAAGATATCATCAGGAGTGTGTGAGGAAACCAACTCTTTGGCTCCCACAATAGGCCAACTGATGAGTCAAGAAACTGCTTTGCAAATCAGGAGATGGCTGTGGACCTGGTCTTCTCAAAAAGCTAAAGTCAGGGAAGGAAGGGGACACGGTGTTCTAGGGAAAGAGTTAAGAGATTTAAACCCTTGCCCAGCCAGTGTGGCTCAGTGGCTGAGCATTGACCTATGAACCAAGTCACAATTCAATTCATGGTCAGGGGACATGCCTGAGTTGCAGGCTTGATCCCCAGTGTGGGGGGGTGTGGGGGGACGTGTAGGAGGCAATCAATGATTCTCTCTCATCATTGATGTTTCTCTCTCTCCCTCTCCCTTCCTCTCTGAAATCAATTTTAAAAAAACTTTTTTAAAGAAAAACCACCATTAGAATGACAGATGACTGTGGTTCCCCCCCAACTCTGCTCTGATCTACTGACCTTTGCTCTGGGCACCACCCTATACTGTCAGGTATGTGTAAGCAAAAGGAACTCCTTAGACACCCCCGCTCCACACCCCCCCTCAGGGCTCGCTCCCAATCTGGGCGGGGATGCCCAGGACTGACCTGTCAGACACGTGCTCTCCCTGCCCACAGGGAACACCATGAGTGTTTGATGCAAAAGCTCAAGATGAACACAGGAAGAACAGAGTTGGGTTTTTTCCAAATAAATGAACCAGTTCCTTTTGAAAATTTCACGAATTTAAAAGGGGCATGAATAGCTGTGGACAAACTCTCTGGAAAGGGCTGGGCAGTAACCAGCTTAGGCTCTGCAGGCTGTCCTTCCCGCCAGCTGCCCCTCTGCCGCGGAGCACAGACCACACACCTGCACGAACAGGCGTGGCCGCACCCCGTAACGTTTCTTTTATGGACACAGGAATTGGAACTGCATGTGATTTTCATATGCCTGCAGTATTACCTTTCTTCTGATTTTTTACAGCCATTTAAAACTGCAAAAACCATTCTTAGCTCGGAGGCTGTACAACCAGGAGTGGACGGGATCTGGTCTGCAGGCCACTTTGCTGACCAGTCTTAAGACATGACATTAACAAGACCAAACCTAAATTTCTCCTAAAACCAAGAATTTCAAAGCAGCTTATTGATGAGAACACCCCTGGGCCCAATGCAGTGCTAGCAGGCAGGCCCCTCCTGCAGGAGGACCATGGCCCGGGCAATCCCCTCTACCCTGGGGACCCGTCTGCTCCGTGACCCCCATTTCACCCCAGGCACCCCCTCCGCCTGAGCACCACCCCTTGCTCCTGAACTGGTTTCGTCCCTGACCCCTCGCTTGGGGCTGTTCCTGTGGGAAGCGATCCTGAGCGCGGCACAAACTGTAGTTTTCAGATCCATGTTCAAAGTAAAAAAGGCACTTAGGAAAACTGTGAAGCACTCCGGCTTTGATACACAGAACGGTTTGTCTCCAAGCACCTCATGAATCCCACACCAAAAACCTTTTCTCTTCAAATCAAAGAGTGCACTGCTCGGTCACACACAGTACACTCATCAAAAACGGTTTTGCTCAATGTATTCTGAAATTAGTTCCACATGTTGCTGCTAAACATTTCCAGAAGCTGCAAAAGCTCGTCTTTATTGATTGGTGATTTGAATTCAGCTGACACCCTGCTCTTTGTGACGTGTGCAAGGTTCAAATCAATCCACGCACATGTCATCAACCATTTCCCTGTAGAACTCCCATATTCTACATGTTCTCACGTCCTGAAAAAGTCCAGTTCTCCGCTGTGTGTCCAAGCCTGCACGTCTGCAGCTGAGCAGGAACCCTCACTGCGTGGGACGGAACACATGGCCAGGCTGGGGAGGAACTGAGACTCCATTCTGCTCAGGCTGATGGCCCCTCGTGGGGAGCGGCGCCGTGGTGGACAGTGCAATCCACCCACCAGGAGGACCGCTGCCGGGAAAATGAAAATGCCCCTCACGCTGGTGTGAAACCATTTGTGTGGGTTCCCCTGGAAGGAAGTGTGCCCAGCACGGGTGGCATTATAGGAAGAGTGGAAAAACCAACAAGTGCCAGGGAAGAGGCTCACACGTCCTCCACCATGAAGATGAAGTGCTTCCAGGCACCGAGCTGCTCACCTGCAGTGTCTCCCCGTCTGGCTTCCCTGCAACCAGAGGATGCTCAAGACACCTCTGCTCAGCGACAGAATGTTCTAGAGCCCGGGACACCCTCAGTTACTGGGCCAGCCCAGGTGTCTGGGGAGCTGTATGGACCTCACTGTCACCAAGCGGAGTGGACAGTGATGTGCCCCTTTTTTTCCTCAAAGGGAGCTGCTGGCAAGGAGGGGACAAAAGCTACTCTGCTTCTCGAGGCCAGAAGCCGGCACCAGGGCTAGGACGAGCCACTCCAGGAGGCCTCCCCGGCCTTCACCTTCTTGGTCTGCCCGTTGGGCCCAGGGGGCGGGTTCTTATGCCGCTTCTTCCGAAGCTGCTGTTGCAACCTCTCCTCTTTCTTCTTCAGGTAAGTGGTCATGTTGTCAAAGGTGGCCTTGTACAGACTGCTAAAGCCCTCGTCCACGCCAGCAGAGCCTGTGCGGGAGGAACAAGAGTAGATGCCAAGTGGGACGGTGACGCAGGACATAGCGGGACGCCGCCTCTAGGAGCGGGATCTGGTGGGCCTGCCAGGCCCTCCCACAACAGGGAATCCACCCGGCAACCACGCAGTCTCTGTGGACTTGTGGCGCCTTCTCCAAGGTGACTCTAACAAGGCCCACCCGCTGGTAGCCACACAACTGGATCTCAGACTCGCTTCTAAGAGAACACAAACTTCTGCTATTCGAGACCCCCTCACCCGGCAGGAACTCCACAGGGCCCGTCAGGGAGGCGCTGGCCTGTGCCCACAGGCATGACCTTCATCTGCCCGCAGGAGTGACCTCCCAGCTCCCTCAGCTCCCCTACCCTTCTGTCCTGTGATTTTCAAGGTCAACTCGCCTTCCCCGTGCTCTCTCCAAGACTTCCCCCACCCGCCCAGGGAGGGGCCTCATAGTGATGCTTCCACCTGGGTCCCTGACAGTCCTGCTGAAGGTCCACTTTCCCAGTGTGGCCCCTGTAAACCCAAACAGCCCCAACCCTTCAACTCTAAGCGAAAGGATGGAACTTAACCCTGGAATCAGAGCCGACGGGCCTTCCGAGAACACTCCGCTTGGGGGACGCTCTGCATGGAGAATGTTACACATGGGGAACGCTTCGCATGGGAACGCTTCGCATGCACACTGAGATCACTGTTCCCGTAAAGACTCTGAATCCATGCTAGGCCCTCTCGAGAGCTCCCAGGAACCCAGAATGGCTTTGTAAGATTTCTTCTGAGCATCAATTTCGTGATTGGAATGAAGGCACCTGAATTCCAGTGCTGAGCTACAAATCCCCCTTCAGACACTGTCGCTTCAAGTCTCTTCCCAGGAGTAGCAGAAGGGAAAACAGCCAAGAGGTGTGTGACTAGGGGTCTGCCTTCTACCAGTGCAGACAGATGGGGTCTCACCGTGTTCTCTCTCTCCGACAGACCCCAGCACCGCCACCTCAGAACTCGCTGTGGGCCCTGTGACAGACAAGGCCCAAGGAACTGACAGCCTCACCGCCCTCACTGAATGCAGAGGCTGGTGGGGGGGACCTGTCTTCTCCCACTGCTCTCCCCTCTCCTCAGCCTGATGTTCCTGTGAGCACCTGCCCTGGGCTGTGAAACCCCTCAGCGACTCAGCGACCGGAAACTGTCCTCACACCTGGTCTCCTGGCCCAGAAACTGCACGCACCACTGTGCAGCCGCTCCATGCCACCAGCTGGGGCCCTTGGGTGGCTCCGGCTCCCTCTGGGGGACATAGAGGCACTGGCCCTGCCTTGGGGCCTGCGACCCCAGCTCTGGAGGCAGAAAGGCGGCAGCTGCTCTGACTCAGACCGCAGGGCACATGCAGCTCGGCTGTCCTGACGGTCAAACCTGGTTAGTGGGTTACCTCCTCAGTGCCCCCGACAGGGACACACGCACACCCCACACCCCCTATATTCTCACAGCTTCCTACTGTGCACCTCGTCCTAGAATCTGCTTTGTCGGATGTTACCCTGAACACAGGCCGCGCCCTCACCTTCCAGCATGGCCCAGTGCCCGCGGAGCTGCGTGCAGACTTTCTTCACCGTGGCATCTTCAGGCACAGGCTGGGGGGCAAAGGAAAACCTGTATCAGAAGGTGCTGCCGGCCCAACAATGGGCAGACCTGCCAGGCCCGGACTGCGGGGCGGGGAAGAGACCCCGTAAATCTTTACATGAGACCAGGTGAAGCCGGCTCACCAAACACGGCAGCCACATCTCGTCAGGACAAAGCCCATGACAGGAGGGCTGCTGGCACCTCACGTACTGGCTTGTTGGGTGCGACTTTATCTACGAAGCCTGGCAGACCTGACAGGTACCGGCTGGTGGCACTCTGTTCTCTGCCACTTTCCAGATAAAAACGCCTGGAAGGTCAGTGGTTCCTGCGGACACTCGGCCAAGTGAGCGTCTATAAAGGATGGGAAAGGCGCACTTCTCCCGGTCCTTCCCACGGCAGTCCTGCCAGACACGGGACAGGAAGGAGAGGACGCCCCCACTTTCAGGATGTGCGGCCGACTCAGAGAAGGCGCGGAGCTCACTCGCCCACAGCCCACGCGCCTTCCTCCAAACCCAGAGGCTCCTCTAGCCAGTGGGACCACTGCCCCAGGCGCAAGGACATGCTAAGCTGCAAACTTTAAGGATGACACACCAAGTATCAGCTTCTCTGATTAAAAATAATTTAAAAAAAAAACAGTGTGACCAGGACAGGAACAGAGAAAACATGCCAGTTTGGGGTGGTGAGCCTCCCAAAAGGCCACTGCAGGCTCAGGACACTGGACAAGTTGGCCGGGTACCCAGCTCCCTTCTCCCAGGTCACAAGTCCTACGACCGCCCACCCAGGACACCCTCTGGCATCAAGGCTCAATCAGCTGAAAGGTATGAGAGCTGTGGCCCTCCCCCAACCCCAGGCTCAGGGGACAGCAGGGGCCCAGCACAACTCACCTGCCACTGGCCGTCCACAAGCCTGCAGAGCACGAGGGGGGCTTCCCGGCAGTCCTGCAGCACCCACAGCCCCCGGTTCTCCTCGAAAGCAATGTCCCACACTCTGTGCTGGAAAGACAGCTGCTGCTTGTAAACCAGCTGCTGCCTGGGGGCCTCCAGCTGGAAGATGTAGACCACAGGGACACTTCCCGCAAGAAAGAGAGGGAGATTGTTACAACTCCCACAGCCCACACCACCAGCAGCTCAGCCTCTGCCCAGGCCAGCCCCAGACAGAGACGCGGTCCTCGCCAACGTTTTGGCTGCAACTGCACAAGACCCTGAGCTAGAAGCACCCAGCTGAGCGCTCCCAGAGCCCTGAGCCACAGACTGTGAGGTAAGGACCATCCGAGTCACCAAGTCCTGGGGTCACGTGTTACACAGCAAGGACCACCAATACAGAACCAGCCGTTCCACCTGCAGGCAGCAGGCAGGACACCTCCTGGAGGCACTTTCACCTCCTCTAAACCTGCGTCCTTATTTCTAAGACAAGCTAAGGTGCCCTCCCTAGACTTGTTATGAGGACAAGTAGGAGCAGAGCACAGGGAAGATGCTCAGGAGGAAGCAGCTAAGGCAGGGGTGGGCAAACTTTTTGACTCGAGGGCCACAATGGGTTCTTAAACTGGACCGGAGGGCCGGAACAAAAGCATGGATGGAGTGTTTGTGTGAACTAATATAAATTCAAAGTAAACATCATTACATAAAAGGGCACGGTCTTTTTTTTTTTTTTTTAGTTTTATTCATTTCAAACGGGCCGGATCCAGCCCGCAGGCCGTAGTTTGCCCACGGCTGAGCTACAGGCATGTGCTACCTAATCCAGCTCACCAACCACTGGCCTTCAGGGGGGTCTACCGAGACCGCTCTCAGCTGGCACTGCCTGAGGCAGACTCTACCACAATCGACCCTTAGGTGAGATTGATCACACACAAAAGACCAGCCCCAGGCCTTGCTGTCCATTAAGCCAGTTTGTTTAAATAGCTTATAAAAGACTGCCTGCCTATAGAACCCTCACCCACACGCCACAGCAACTTCAGAAAGGGAGACACATACCCCGCCCCCACAGGGAGCTGTGGTCCCAACATACCAACTAAAACCTCCCGAGTTAGGAGACAGAATGTGGGGCCAGTGGAACAATCCATGTATTCCTGCTCTCACAGGCTGGAGGGGACCAGAAGCCGTGAGCTTACCAATCACACAGCAGCGCCACACAGCTGTCCCGGCTCCAGTAAGTGATCCTGGATGCAGCAAACCTCTGCAAGGAAAGCAGCAGCTTAACTGCACATCAGGGACCAATACCAGCCTGTTCCGCTCCCACTGAGCTCACACTGCAAGACTGAGTTCCCACACATGTCCCGGATGAGAGAGAGAAGACAGTGCCAGAACTTTCTGCAAACTATTGAGGGAAAAGAAAGGCAAGGGCTTGCCCGGCCGGCGTGACTCAGTGGTTGAGCATCGACCTATGAACCAGGAGGTCATGGTTTGATTCCTGGTCAGGGCATATGCCTGGGGTTGCAGGCTTTGATCTCCAGTATGGGGTGTACAGGAGGTAGCCAATCATTGATGTTTCTCTCTCCGTCATTGTCTCTCTCTCCCTTCCTCTCTGAAATCAATAAAAATATTTTTAAAAAAGAAAGGTAAGGGCTGATTTCCTGTTTCACAGTAACGCCAACATGCCGGGCACGTGGCAAAAGCCTCTCCATGGTCTGGCCCACCCTCCAGACAACAGAATGTCTCCAAAACCAACGAAATTGGTCAAAAAGCAAGAACGAAGGGAACAGAGAACACAAGTGGAAAAGAAGGGGATTGTTCGGTACAGACACAACTGCCCTGCAGGTGCCCACACGCCCAGCAGGGATGAAACACTGAGCACCAGTCAGAAATGGAAAGGGAAGGGCCTGGCATCCACAAGGCCCGAGCAGGGCAGGCGCCTGAGAGGCCGGGCTGCCCCTGGTCCTGCAGGCCGGGCTGGTGTCACCTTTAGAAAGAGCTCACATCAACCTCGCTGCTAGAGCATCAGGTAGAGTGAGGGCACATGGGCGAGAAGTTAGCAGAAAAAAATCAGGCCTGTTTGCTGCAGCTTCCACGACTGCAGGGTGCCAGCAGGAGGCGCCCATGGGGCAGCAGAGCAGCTGGAGCCACTGGCCTGGTGGTCACTGCAGGTGCTCAGCTAGGGGTCCTAGGGACCTTGGCCTGGGTCAGGCCCAGCCTGCCCACTTTGAGGACCTGTGAGGGCAGCTGCCATGGAGTGCCTCAGAGCAGACAACGGAAATGAGAAGCCAAGCCGAGGACCAGGCAGACAAGCCCTGCACTTCACACCCAGGTCTTATCAGACATGCGGGGGACTGCAAGGGGAAGGGCTTGGTGCCTCTGGGGACAGGCAGAGGGTACCCAGCTCTGCAGGCCTGAGTGGACATGATAGCAGTCCTTCCCTCCCTCCCCACCAGGACCAGGCGGGCCTCTGGGAAGCTGGCAGGGCCGTCCACATGTGACCAACCCGGGGTTGCATAGGACTAGCTCAGGAGCATCAGAGCTGGGTGACCATGAGCACAGAATCCTAGGGATCCTGAAAGGCAGCCCACACTTTCCCCCTGAGAATCTCCTTGGCAACCAAAGACCCAGGCAACCTGAACTGGGGGGTCATAAGATTAATCCATGACGGACAATAGAGAATGCTGGGTGGGTACCAGCCCGCTGCCCAGTTGATAAAACCACAGCAAGCCTCGCTGCTCTAGCCCCACTATTTTTTCCATTTCCAAGTGGATTAGAGGCCGTTCTATAATTAGTTGTTCAAATGCAAACATGGTAAGAATATAAATTATTCCCCCACTTACTTGACTAGCTGCCTAGAATTTGAAATACATGATTTCTCCCAAGCTGGAAAAGTTCCAGCTGCACTAACAGCAGAGAAATGTTTCCAATGTAAAACATTATTTTTCTCAAGACCTGAGTGCCTGGAGAGGCACCCTGCAGCCCCCACAACCCAGACAAACTCGGTTACCTTGTCGCTCCGGGGCCCCGCTGGCTCCTGCAGGCCGGTCAGGTGACAGCAGTGCAGCTCTTGGCCACGTCTGTACTCCCAGAGCCTCAGGGTGCAGTCCTGCACACAAGGACAGGTCAGCATACCTCTCAGGGGCCTGGCACCGCCCCCCGCCGCAAGCACCCAGGCTTCCACCAGGTCGGAGGGATGGTAACTCTGGGACAACCAGAGCACCCTTCTCAATCAACGGCTCTTTGCTCTAAAGAGCTCATGCAAGTCATTCAGAAAAATGGGCCTGGCCAGTGTGGCTCTGGTTGAGCGCTGACCTATGAACCAGGAAGTCATGGTTCAATTCGAGGTCAGGGCTCAAGCCTGGGTTGCAGGCTCAATCCCTAGCAGGGGGCGTGCAGGAGGCAGCCAATCAATGATTCTCTCATCACTGATGTTTCTCTCTCTCTCTCTCTCTCCCCCTCTCCCTTCCTCTCTAAATCAATAAAAAAATTATTTTTAAAAATATGTTTAAGAAAAAAAAAGTCGTGTTTTTTTTTATAGAAAGAAAAATGGGTAACCACACACAGCAAAATGAGCAAAGGACACATGGTAACATGATGTCACATGCCAGGCTGTATTTGGGCCGAGTATGCACACATAGGAGCACACATGTGCATAAACACACGGGCACATCAATGACCAGGCATTTGCACAAGGAGAAACACATGGGGATACTGAGTATGTGTCAGCAGCAGTGGTGACCAAACCCAGGTCCCTACAGACTCAGAAAGGGTTCCTCCACCAACTGTCTGAAATAGGATCACGATGTTATGACAGATGTAACAGACCTTAGAACGGACTCCCTGCACAAGATCCTCCAACTCTACACACACAGACCTGCATACACACACACACCCAAGTCCACAGCCACAAGCAGGAGCAAAGCCCAGCCAGCTCTAAACTGCAGAAAACAAGCACCATCTAGTGGACGGCCACCAGTGAAGAAGGAACACTGACGTCCAAACCACGACTGGAAACAAAGGACAAGCTCTTGGCTGCGAGCAGGGCTCCTGCTCGGTCACTACAGAGGAACCCAGAGGGGCCCACGGCGGAGTGGCACTCACCCCGGATGAGGACAGAAGCAGCTCAGGGTGGTCGGGCACCACGAAGATGCGGCTCACGAACCTGCAGCACAGAGAAGCAGAGTGAGCCAGGTTCCAGTGCTGCTGTGACCTCCACACGACTCCTGTCACCTCAGAGACAAGACTGTGCCCCCCAAACTCCTGACCTCCAACAAAACTGATATGAGTAACATGTGTAACTGGTGATGGCCGTGTGGATAGTGATGAGGAGGCTGGGAGCTCGCTGGCCGTGTATTCTCAGGAACCCAACAACACAACAGCCTCCACCAAGAGCGGCCCCCAGCCCATGTGTGCTCCTCTCAGCTGCCTGCACACAGCACCGGCCGCCTTCCAAGCCGGGGGGAGACATGGAAGACAGTGGGGGAAGGAGGAGCAGCAACACTGCCCAGAGGCCAGACTCAGACCAGCTGTCCCTCAGCCTGAGGAACCACCTCTCCCCAGACACCAGCTCAGGGCAGAGGGAGACTCACTCAGTGTGCCCCAGGCAGAAGGACTCGATGTTGTGCGGTGCCACGGCCCAGCTCACCCGGATCTTCTCGTCCCGGTCAGCGGTGAGGACGTAGCGGTCGTCAGGACTCACAGCCTGTGCGAGGGGTGAGAAAGGACAGATCCAGTCACGGGACAGCCAGAGACACTCACCTCCACCACCGCCCCTCAGACCTCTTGTCTCCAGCCCCCATTCCATATCCATGAAGACCCACCTCAACACAACTCCTTACTGCCACCCATGCCTTCCTGTCTCCAGCACCGAGTCACCTTCTTCTCCCTCCTATTTCACAGTCACCAAGTCCTGACTCCCTCCATTATGCCTGTGTGTCCCCGTGGGAACCCACCCCAGTTCCACCACCCATGGCTCTAGCCCAGCCCTCACTGGGACAGCTCCTGGCTCAGGAGTTGGAAGGACACCATGGAGATGCCCGTGAAGCATGAAGGATGAACTCTGACCTCGTGACTGCGCCCCTCCACCGCATCGCCCTGACCTGGGCTGACCTCACATCCGGAACCACCCAGCGCCTTTCTCACTCGCCCGCTGTCAGCCTCACGTGCCTGGATCCCAATCCTCCTGCTCATGTATCTGCAGAGGGCTGTCCCTGCCACAGGAAGACCCGCACCCACCCAGACGCTCAGCGCAGACCCCCGCCCCCGCCCCACCTGAGCCCGACCACAGCAGAGTTAATAAGCACTTGGACCACCACATACCACATCCAGCAGCATCGACAGGTGCCCAAGTTCAAGTTTGCCACATTCATTCGGCTCCAGCACCGAAAAGGAGTAAACGTCCCCAGACTTGTCTGCCACCAAAACCTTCTCCTCAGAAGCCGTGAACGTCAGGGCTGTACACCTCCTCACCACGGTCCTAGGAGGCCAGAGAGATGCCCAAGGTTGGCTGACAGACTGACACAGGTCAATGCAAGATCCTGCAACAGGCCTGCAAGCCGTGCGCTCCCAGCATGTGGAACTCCAGATGTCAGCGTGAAATGGAAACGGAAGCCTAAAGGAATTAGGACCCCAACACACCATCCCAACAGGCCCCCGTGCTTCTCAGGAGCACAGGGACACATGGACAGAAAGGCTGGAGGAGGCCGCCCAGGCATCGCTGCCAGAGGAAACAGCAGGTGCCTAAGGACCGCAGGAGGAGGCACAATAAACATGGTAAAAACAATGACAAGAGAGACAATCAGGCTCCGGGTAAGATGCCTCAAAATTCTCCCAGCCCTGTGATTTCAACAATGGCTGTGCCCATTCTAATAGGCCAATTAAGCAGCTGTGACAGCCCAGCCACAGCACTCTGGGGGAGCAGCTAGGACAGTCCTCCAGGAGCTGGGCTGGGATCCAAAGAGCTCGGCCACCCCAGAGAGAATCCAGCCCCACCTTCACCCCACCCCCCATGAGCACCCCTCCCACCCAGCTTCTGCCAGACTCCGCATCATGTCCCTTTGTCTCGCACCAGATGGCGGCTTTCAGCTGCTCAGGCTAAATCGGGCCTGGCGATGATTCCAGGATGCAGCTGAGCTTTACAGAGTAGGTTTAGGGCGTTGGGTCCAGGGGATTCAGGTAGCAGAAGGGAGAGGAAGGGCAGGTCATAGGACAGGACAGTTAGGAGGCCTCTGGACTTCCCCAGGGGAAAGTACCCTGGGGAAGGCAGAGGCCACAGCAATCTTCAATCTACACAGGGTCTCCTACACAGGGTCTCCTTTACAGGACCTTGTATACAGGGCCTCGGCACCCTCCCCTCCCTTCATGGAGTGCCTGGGTTCAAAAGCTCCCCCACAGCACACGTCCCAGCAGCCACTCTCCCCATCTTTAGGCCCCTGAGGGTAGAACAAACCCAGATCTGATGTCCAGAGGCTCTGCCTTTTCCAGGGCCTTTATTATTGGGATACAGGTGCTTTATAAAATGGTGTGGTTTCGTGTGTAAGATTTCTCATTAACACATCAGAAATATAAAATACCAAAATAGAAGACATCATGTCTTCATTTTTTATTCAAAAAACCTTGTTTTTCTGGCCTCCGTTCTGAGCCTGAAGTCCTTCTGACTTGCCCAGTTCACAGGTTCTCTGCCCTTTGTCACTCTAAACTTTACCTTGAAAAATGTCACTGCTACCCATAATTTCCTTCTCAGTTTTTCCTCAAAACCCTCCAAGGTGAAGTTTTAAAGCAGCTGCAGTTAGGTCGTGCCCGCTTGGAGAGCTGTAAATTACCACAGTAGGACACACTGTGTAATCAGAGGAACCAAAGAAGCTGTCCTCACCTCCCTGATCCCATCCACCCCCAGACTCTGCACTGGTCAAGTCCTGCCGCACAGAAACCACAGACCTGCAGCAGACATGGGCCCCGGGCTTTGAAAAGTATGCCAGCAACGCAAGTGCCAGGAACAGGCTCACCCAGCCTCCACAGCCCTGAGCGGCTCTCACTCTCCACGCTGAGCTACCGAAAGGCCATGTGAAAGTAACCGGTGTGGATGGGCTCCTCTACCACAACGGGAAACCCGAGTTCCCTAATACACAACCAAATGAGAAAGGGAGCAGCCCAGTGGGAAAGCCAAGCTCACACCCGAGAAGCCAGCGCACAAGACATTGGTTCTTAAGAATAAGATGTGCTCCCCTCACTCACACTTAAGTATACAGGACACCAACTTCCTTCTACCTGACTGTGTAGGCCCCAGGTTCCATACCACCTGCTGTCCAGGGTAGGAAAGGCACCTTCCACCCTGGGAGGCGGAGACAGAGCCCCTTGGGAAGACAATCTGGGATTCTCTGTCTAGATTATAAAGGCACCTATCTTTTGACCAGGCAACTCATTTTTGGAACTTCTCCTACAGATACATGAGATTTTTTATGTTTGGGAACACAAAGAGACACCAGGGACACAGGCACAGAGGGACAATGTTGTGAGAAGGCAGTAAGAGGACAGCCATCTACAAGCCAAGGAGAAAGGCCTCCGGGCAAACCCTGCCGACAACTTGATCTCAGAATCCCAGCACCAGACTGTAAGGAAGAACTACCTGGCTTTTTCACGCTGTGGTGTTTGTCGCGGAGGCCCAAGCAGAGTAAGACAGCCGCCATCCTCTGTGATTGCTATCACTGGCTTGCTTCTCTCTGGCTTGCTTCCCATCCTCACATCCCTCCCTCCTTCCCACAGGTGGTGGGAGCAACTCAAAACCAAGGCCAAGTACAAGGGTCCCTGCTGGAGAAGCTCAGTCAGACCCGAAGGCCCCGTGCAGTATTTACCCCAAATGCTGAAAGCACTTATCTTCCATAACCTAAATACTGGCTAATGTCCTGGCTATTTTGGCAAGATGCTACCTAACAGACCTTTCAAGTGAAGGATGATGTGAAGTCATAGCAGTCAGCTACAAAAAGTGATTCATTAGCATTTATAACCTGCATGCATGGCAGCAAATGTTGTTTACATTACTCTTCTCCTGGGAAACTCTAGCTGCCCGTGGGGAGAACTGGAGAGAGGAGGTGGAGGGAGATTCACTGTACATCCCGTATCCTTCTGTTAATCTGCTTTTTTAAAGCTTTTAGGTCATCTATTATGGTCATCTATTGCCTGATATATGAAAACACACATAAGATAAAAATGGAATACTGTTACCAGGCTTTATTTTTAACCTGAATGGAACACAGGGCAGAATGGGTATTCCTTGCTTGTGATGTCACCTGGAATGTGGCTTTTTATTCTTCTCTTAGGAAATGAGAGGAAATAAAAATTTAAAAAGCATAGCTGTCCCCAACACAAAGGGAAATTCCTTAGTCTTGGTCACTTAGTAATTCAAACATTATGACCAGCACGTGTTTTCTCTGATTATCAAGGGACATTTAAACCCTGCAGCCTCAGGGAAGACAGAAGGAGGGGACAGGGGCTGACTCCGCCCTTCCAAACCGAGTGGGATCAGCTTCCAGACTCCTGGCCTGCAGATATGAGTGAGGACCATGTCCCCTCTCCCTGGGCATACAAACGAAGCTACGTGTTAGTTGCGTATTATAATCGTTGCTGTCACTATTGTTATTGGCAAGCAAGTGTAAGCTGTGTGTTCAACAGGGTAATTATTCAACATTAGCATTTCATACCTGACACTCAGACATTGCCATGGTTTTGTACGGAAAAGAATCAGACGCTTACTGTCATCGGTTAAAGCAAAATAGCTGCCAGACTTGGAGAAGGTGGACGCCAGGATCGTGTCACTCCCCTTCTCCACGGGCTGTCCGTCCTCCCTGAGAAAGAAGGAGAACGGTGAGGGCTTTGCTGAGAAATAAGGCTGCATTCCTCTAGGCCAGCCTTGTTCATTTTTAATGTGAACAGAGGTAGAAAACGCCAGGAGGTTCATGCAGCCAGGCTACCAGACCTAGTAGGGGAACATGGGGAGGTTCAAACAGTTCTAACGTTTAAGGAGTAAAAGCTAACTAACAGAACAATTTCTCAGTGTACACACCAAAATAAAAAGAGCTGAGGTGGAAGGACCCACATGGTCCACTCCCTCATGGACATGAACTAATCAAGACTAGAGGCAGGAGCCCAGCTGGCGTGGCTCAGTGGTTGAGCATCGACCAATGATCCAGGAGATCCCGGTCCGATTCCTGGTCAGGGCACATGCCCAGGTTGCAGGCTCCATCCCCAGTAGGGGGTATGCAGAAAGCAGCCAATCAATGATTCTCTCTCATCATTGATGTTTCTATTTCTCTCTCCCTCTCCCTTCCTCTCTGAAATCAATGAAAATATATTTTTTTTTAAAAAAGACTAGAGGCAGGAATTAAATAATAATAATAATTTTTAAAAAGCTGAGCCACATGACCAATTCTAGTAAAGAAAGTCACCAGATAAAATCATCACACTCTGCTTTTCTTACCTTTCAATTAGCTAAGTTAATGTCATGCAACTGCCCCCAATGCACTTAAAACTGATTGCATTATTTCAAGGTGCCAATAAGAACATTATTGACAAAAACTAATTAAAAGTACTTAGAGCCAAAACTGGTTTGGCTCAGTGGATAGAGCGTCAGCCTGTGGACTGAAAGGTCCCAGGTTCGATTCCGGAGGGCATGTACCTTGGTTGTGGGCACATCCCCAGTAGGAGATGTGCAGGAGGCAGCTGATCGATGTTTCTCTCTCATCGATGTTTCTAACTCTCTATCTCTCTCCCTTCCTCTCTGTAAAAAATCAATAAAATATTTTTTAAAAAAAAGTACTTAGAAAAGTCCTAATATTCTTTAACGCCTAATTTGAAAATCCCACATTTCTTTCCTGAGGTACCCGGTTTTCTACACAGCAAGGTAGAGAAATGAAAAATTCAGTGAGAAGACATCAATCTCCTTCTTAGGCTATCAGGGCCCATTACTCAAACCACAAATTGAATCTGAAGAGACTTCCCCACTATCTCACCCTTTATTTTCTTGTGACTTCTTTTCTGCAGTACTGCAATCATATGTGAAGAGGCCGCCGTCATCATCACTGAAGAAAAACAATAGAAAGATTTTTTAAAAGTACTTTGTTAATTAAAATGCTCATGTCTTTTATTTCCCTGGAACAGAAAAATATTTGCCTAGTCATCAAGTTAAGGGTCTCAGCCACAACAGGTCTGGGTTCGCTACTTCAGGCAACAGTTATGGAGCTTTATCCGCCTAATCTCTATTTGGATTTGCCATACACAACTGGCATGGTTCTGTACAAAAATCCGTTTAGTAAAATAAGTGAGAACAAAAGTCAACGGGAAATATCCTCCTCTTTCAGGCACCAGCACATCAATGTAAAATGGTTATGTCTGAAGAAATGTGTCCTGATATTGTTTTCAGTGGGTTTTTGTACCCAAACTAAAAACTGCCATTTCTAGTTTAGAAAAATGTCTCACCTGCCCCAAAAAGCTCCTTTGGCTGCCAAGCACTGACCAATACAGGAGCCACCCATCTTCCCCATTACACCCCAAGTTCTCTACTATATAGTACCCCCCACCCCGCTTCTAGCACACAGAAGGCATCTTGTACAAATGTACAGCCTTTAAAGTGGCTGCGCTTTAAACTCTTCACAGGGAGCACTGGAGCATAGAAAAGAGAAGTAGTCCTCCAAGTCAGAAACTGTGCTGGCCCCTAAGGCAGCAAGCAGATGGAAGTCTCCCCGTGGCATGTGTGGGACACCGTGAGCCTCGAAAACAAAGTAATCTGGGATACATGACCGGTTTGGGAGGAAATGTTTTGTTAAATCTAAATTTAACATTGAGTTGGGAGTTCTGAAACAGGACACTGAACAGGGAGCACTGATAGTGCATTTGTTAGGCACGTTCTCTGATTCAAGCATGAGAATCAAAACCCTGAGAAAAGACACAGGGCCCATACAGACCGCTACTAACATCCCCGAGGCTCCTGAGTCAAGAATAATGGAGCAACAAACATTTCCTGAGTTAAAAATCCCGAGCGCTGTGTCCACACTGGGGAACCACAAGGAAAGAACGTTAAATTAGGGAAAGCAGCCCTGGCTGGTTTGGCTCAGTGGATAGGGCTTAGGCCTGTGGACTGAAAGGTCCCGGGTTCAATTCCGGTCAAGGGCACATGCCTGCGTGGCGGGCTCGGTCCCCAGTGGGGGGCGTTCAGGAGACAGCCAATCAGTGGTTCTCTCTCATCACTGATGTTTCTATCTCTCCCTCGAATCCGGAAGAGCCAGTGGGGCGGGGTCCTCAGATGCAGAGGAGTGTGCGGCGCCACCGCAGGACCAGGGAGCCAGAGGGAGGGCGCCCTCAGGAGCCAACCCCTCCGACCAGCCTGCCTTCCTCCCCGCGCTCGGGTCTGCCGGGCGTCCCCGGGACCCGCTTTGGCCCCATCCAGCCCCACATCGCCCCACGTACCTGGGCTCCATCTGCCCCCTCAGAACCCAGCCCAGAGCCACGCAGACCAGCCATCGAGGGGGCGGGGCCCTGGACAGGTGGCCAGAGGAGCGCCCGGGGCGGTTCCAGGGAGAAGGGCTGCAAGGAACCGGTGCAGGCACGCAGCCAGGCCGAGGAGGCAGTGGAGGCCCGCAGGCAGCGGCGGGACTCCCGCGGGGCACCCCGGCACGAGCGCAGCCCCGGGCGCAGGGAAACCGGGGTCTCCAGGCCCCGAGCGCGCCCGCAGCCTGGCTCCCTGCTCCACGCCCAGACGCCTTACCTGCTCGCCGTGGTGGTGGCCAGGAACCGGCTGCCTCCCCGCACCACCAGCGCCCGCCCGCACAGAGCCAGCCCCGCGGAACTCGCCATGAGCCCAGCCGTCGCGCTGTACCCACGTGCGCCGCCCAGCGCCCCTGCCCCGCCGCGCCGGAAAGTGACGTTGCGCGCAGGCGCAGTGAGGTGACAAGTCCCCGGTGACCGCGCCGACCCGGGCATGCGTAGAAGGTCTGCTCTCGCTCTCGGTCCTCCAAACCGGGTTCCTGTCTCTTGGCGACTCACGGTGTGTCGCTGACCAGATGTGTCCGGGGGAATACACGGCACACGCGATAATGTTGGTCTTTTCCTCCAGACCGAATGGCCGGCTCTGAATTCTAACCATGCACCGTGAAACTACATGAGGTCTGGCCCCACGAGACACGGAACAATGCATAACAGAAAACTTAAAGAACTGTGCTTGGCCGTCAGACGTAAGCACAACTCAATCATTTGGATCTTTTTGAGATGCTAAGTCACTTGCCTCACACTTTGAATTCTTACAGTACTTGTGCAAACAAGATTGATTTGCCTCAAGATCTTTTTCTTATCAAATTCCATGATAACCCATATCTTGCTTTTTAATTTTAATCAAGTCTGAATTGAAATGTTTTTAAGCTAAGTCTTATTTTCATAATCTTTCCCTTTTTATGTCTCTTCTGGTACTACTTATTTTGTTGTGTGCTATTAGACATTAACGTTTGCCCGCAAAAGTATTGTTTAAGTGGATTTTATCATTATTACTCTTATATATAGGTAAACTATAAATTTCATCATTACTATGATGCATTGGTATTTTACTATCTAATTATCTTAGCATATTACCCAAAACACACAACTTGAATTTCAGTTCTGTGTAATTTGTCTGTTGTTGTTGTTTTTTAATTTCTTAATATGGCTAGTTAAATTATCACCAAGTTTTCACTTCTATGAAATTTTAAAAACAATGAGGGGGGTATATTAATCATTTACAGCTTTGATAAAAATGGAGAATTATTTGATTTCATACCATCTCTCTTGGTAATTGTTAGGTCACCGAAGGAGGAACACACTAGGCCAGAGTGGTGAGGGATTACAAATTTATTTTATTCGATCAGCCCCCAGTGATGGGAGTCAGCGGCTTTTAAAAGACCGCTGAAACTGGTTTGGCTCAGTGGATAGAGCGTCGGCCTGCGGACTGAAAAGTCCCGGGTTCGATTCCAGTCAAGGGCATGTACTTTGGTTGCGGGCACATCCCCAGTGGGAGATGTGCAGGAGGCAGCTGATCAATGTTTCTCTCTCATCGATGTTTCTAACTCTCTATCTCTCTCCCTTTCTCTCTGCAAAAAAATCAATAAAATATATTTTTTTAAAAAAAAGACTTTTGGCGGGCTTTTTTTCTGGGTGGAGACTTCTTTATGCAAAGCCGGAGTGGTCACCGAAAGTGAAATGTGGTCAAAGGGAATGTCCATAGTGAAATGACCTGAAAAGCCAGTTCCCGGGAGAGGGGTATCAATTCAATTCAATTACCTAACAGTAATTTTCTCAAAGAAGGTAGCTGTGTTATTAGTAACTCTATCTGCTATCCACTGCCATAATAATGCATGACAAACACAAAAATTTTGTGACCTAAAACAGCATTTACTTAGCTCGATTTTGTGGGTTGGCTGTCTAGGCTGCACTTAGCTGGGTGGTTCTTCTGGTGTTGAATGAGCTTTGCTCTGTGTCTCTGGCCAGCCACCTAGTTGGAAGAGAACTAGCTGGTTTGAATGGCCTGGGATGGCTCATCTCTATTCCATCTGGCCTCTCGTCCCCCAGAAGGGTAATGGGAATGGTGTGCATAATAAGCAAAATCAGGAAAAAGCCCACAAACCTCATGAGATTCAGGCATAGAACTAGTGCACTGTTCTAAGTGCACTTTTGACACATTCTATTGACCATAAAAAAACAAGTCACCAGGGCATTAAGAGCCAAGGGGTGGGGAAATAAACTGCTCCTCCTGACAAGAGGTGCAGCTACGTCACATACAAAAGGCCTGAGCGAGGGAACTGGTGGAACATTGAGGGCAATTTTAGAGTCACATCTACCTCAGTCCATCCTCTGGCCCCAATGATTCATATCTATTCACCTGGAGAACACTTCCAACCCAAAATCAAGCTCAAAGTGCAAGGTCTTGGGATCTGTACTAGGTTGGATGTGGCCCCTCAGGTGCAGCTAGCTCCTCTGGATCCAGAGACCTACCACCTAAAAGGCTGAGTTGTCCCCCACACGGCCAGCCTGCCCCGGCGAGCTGGGAAGGAGAGCCACAGGAAAGGGGAAGCCGGGATACACCCAGCAATCTCTTGTCTCAGGAAGTCTGAAACCCACCGGGAACTGTCTGCAGGGTGCCCAGGAGTGGGAAGTGTTCCTTGATGAGGTGAGACATCCCATCCTGACTCTTGCCTCTGCCCTCTAGGATATCCCTCCTCTTCTAGCACCTCTTGGTCACTTTGAAAAACATGCCCTTTGAGCAACTCTCTTACACCTTTGGCTGCCCTTAGCAAGTTGGGAGCCCAGAGGCATTTGTTCACTTTAAACTTCCCAGGCCCCTTGAGCCAGCAGGTGTGCTTTGTTCAATACAACTCCCATAGAAACTCTGTGGAGCCCTGGCCGGTTTGGCTTAGTGGATAGAGAGTTGGCCTGCAGACTGGAGGGGCCCGGGTTCGATTCCGATCAAGGGCAGATGCCTGGGTTGCAGGCTCGATCCCCAGTAGGGGGATGTGCAGGAGGCAGCATCATTGATGTTTCTCTCTCCCTCTCCCATCCTCTCTGAAATCAATAAAAAAAAAATATTTCAAAAATGAAAACACTTTGTGGAGCCCAACTAGTGTGGCTCAGTGGTTGAGTGTCTACCTATAACCAGGAGGGCATGGTTTGATTCCCTGTCAAGGCACATGCCCAGGTTGTGGGCTCTACCCCCAGTGGGGGCGTGCAGGAGGCAGCTGATCAATGATTCTCTCTCATCATTGATGTTTCTATCTCTACCTCTCCTGTCCTCTCTGACATCAATAAAAATATTTTATTAAAAAAAAAAAAGCTTTGTGGACATGTCAGCATTGCAGTTGAATAAGATAGATCCCTCGTCATGTCCTGCCCCCCCCCCCACCACCACCACCAAAACAATGCAACGTCCACAAGCAAAAGCGCCCTTGTGGGAGCTGTGGGGTGCAGGATCATATGCCAAGGAACCCAGGAGTATCACCACCATCAGATAATAGGCATACACACCTCGGTCCCGGCTGCAGTGGCTGCCATGGCCCATGAACTGCCTCCACCCCTCCTGGCCACAATCTGGGAGCCCCTGGAAAACACCGTCTTAGACCATCACCCATGAAAGAGCTTTGGTAGGAGTCCAGGTTTCCAGTGGACAAGTTCCAGCACATCATCAGAGCAAAAAATATGAGGGCAAGAGGAGCAGATTGACTTTGCCAGCACCACCCCTCCCCTAAGGCAGCCCCGCTTAGGGCCCAGAGAGACCTTTTCAGCCATTTCTCCCGAAGGAGAGTGAGAGCACTTGAGTGAGCACCCAGCTTCCCCAGCTGTGCCAGATGCTGCTAAGGAGTCTTTTTCTCCCTTGTCCTGACCAGAGTACCGAATGGTGAGACTGGGAGAGCCGGAGATAGAATTCTCAGAGGAACCTAAAGGGACATCAACACTGCTAAATGCATCACAGACTCTATCTATCAAGAAGTCTGCCCATGAGCCACTAGGCAGTAGTTCTCAACCTTCTGGCCCTTTAAATACCGTTCCTCATGTTGTGACCCAACCATAAAATTATTTTCGTTGCTACTTCATAACTGTAATGTTGCTACTGTTATGAATCATAATGTAAAGATCTGATATGCAGGATGGTCTTAGGCGACCCCTGTGAAAGGGTCGTTCGACCGCCAAAGGGGTCAAGACCCACAGGTTGAGAACCGCTGCACTAGAGTCACTGAAGATCCCCCAACTGGCCCATAGGCACCCCGGCACACCACATACCTCATCCACACACACTCCTACCCTGTGAGCAGCTCCCTGTGCATTCCCAGTGGTGGTGAGAGCCAGTTTGGGCAAAGGAATAGTGAGCACACACGGGGAGGGGGGGGGGGGGGGGGGGGTAACGTCTGTGGGCCAAGGAGAGACAATAAACTTGAGTTGTAGCTCCACCTTTGGAAAACAAAAGGGAGTGTCATCACCCACCTTTTCCATTGCAGGATCCAGAAAAGGTGGAGCTTAGGAATTCTACCACAAGAGGGAGCAAGAAGCGTGAAGCAAATGTATCCACAGAAGGTCTGAAAGACAGAATGCCTGGCAGCTGGGCTAATGGAAGGTATTTCTCTCCCAAAGGCAGTTGGCAAAGATTGAGGAGGTGGATTGCTACTTCAAATGTGAAGACAGCAACACAAGACTTCAAAGAACATGAAAAATCCAGGAAACAGGAGATTACCAAAGGATCACAATAATCTTCAAGTAACTTATCTCAAAGACAATGGAGATCTGCAAGTTACCAGATAAAGAATTCAAAATAGCTGTTTTAAGGACTCTCAATAAATTGTAAGAACGCGAAGGACAATTCAATGAAATCAGTAAAACAATACATTTAAAAATGAGTAGTCTAACAAAGATAGAAATCATAAAAAAGAATCAAAGAAAAATTCTGGAGCCTAAGAACACTATGAATAAATTAAAAAAAAAAAAAAGGTGGCAATAGAGAGCATTAACAACAAAATGGATCCAGCAGAAAAAAGCATCTGTGAGTCAGAAGACAGAAATTGTAAAATATTCCAGTTGGAAGAGAACAAAAAAAAAGAAAGCCTATGTGATCTATGGAATACTAACAAAAAGAACACTTTGCAAATTGTTGCAGGTTCAGAAGGAGAAGAGAGAAAGAAGGGGGCAGACACTTATTTAAATAAATATTAACAGGGAACTCCCCAATTCAGGGGAGAGATTTGGACACTCCTGTGTCCCCCGACCCCTAGGGCTAATTGGTCACCAGGTTCTGTTCACCTGCCCTGCCTGTGTCTCCTCCTGGGATTCTCACAGGAAGATAAACAGCTCTGATGGCCGGGCCATGTCTTTCTTGCAGCCCACAGTGGGTGCTCAGGAGATGGATGCAGTCGAA